TTTTTTTTTCCCCTTTTTATTTTTCAGTTCTAATTAAGGTCCTTTCATTGAGTTCTTATCACATTTTTTGGGTCATTCACATCAAAAATTGTACCAAGAGCATTCAGAAATTGTTTAGTAAATTAATCTTATTGCACCAACAGAAATTTTTATTATTATTATTTATTATTATTATTATTATTATTATTTTTTTTTTGGTTTCTTGCCTTGTGATTGATCTATTCCATTAAAAGGGGGAGAAAAAAGTACGAGAAATTCAAAGAAAAATGGGAAAAAGCAAAGAATATTCAAGAAAAAAGCTAGAAAGTTCAAGAAAACATAACCTACATTCAAGAATGAATATTTTTCCCGGAATTCTTGTGGTGTTACTTTCCAGAAAACACCATGTTTTTTACTATTTGATATATAAATCATCATTGAAAATCGATCTTGAAGTCCAAAAGGCATAAATCAATTTCAAGAAATCTATTTTTTTTTTTTTCGTGTTGTTTTCATTCTTCTTGTGATCTTTCCTTATTGAATCCTTCCTCGAGTTTTGTTATCCTTCTTATTTTTTGGTTCTTGCTGGTTTGAACATACTAAAGATTGAATTCTTAATTGAATTTAGTTGGTTCCTTAAAGAACTTGACAATGAAAGCATAGAGAGGTGAGTCTATTATCGAGGAAAATCTAATACAAAGTGAAACACTAAAGCGTAAAGACATAAGCTTACTTTTCCTAGTTATTAAAATGTCTGGCTAGGGAGATACTATATCTATGGAGGAAATAAATCAATTCTTTATATTGAAAGCAATGCAACAACAATTTGAGAGGGTAAATTTAGTCCTTGGAGAAATTAAGGATAGAATAGATAACTAGAATACTGTGATTGTAAACTTATGAATGGGACAACCAAAAAGGTCTCCTAATAGTAGGAGGCAAAATAGGCAAGATCTTACTCCTAGGCTGAATTTAATAATGTAAATGAAGATGACCGAATCTCAGTTGCTGAAATGGGTAGGATGAGGAAAGGATGAGATAGGCATGAAAGGGGACATAGAAGAGATCGAGATGGGGTACGTAGATAGCAACTTTGGAAGCATTAAGATGAAAATACCTTCCTTCCAAGGTAGAAACGATCTTGACGTTTATTTGGAGCAAGAGAAAAGTTGGAGTTGATATTTGATTACCATAACTATTCTGAAGGGAAAGAGGTAAAGCTAGTAGTGATTGAGTTCACTGATTATGCAATAACATGATGGGATCAATTGGTGACAAATAGAATGAGAGATCATGAGAGACTTATAGAAACTTGGGGTGAATTAAAAGCTCTCATGAGGAGGAGATTTGTACTATTTATTACCATACGGACCTTTATCGATAATTATAGAACCTTACTCAATGTTCAAGGAATGTAGATGATTACCATAAGGAGTGTAGATGATTAGGCCAACGATGAGGAACATAGAGAGGCCATAATAGCCCAATTTTTGAATGGATTTAATAAAGATATGGTCAATTTAGTTGAGTTACAGTACTATGTGGCATTAGATGATATGATGCACATGGTAAGGAAGGTACAGAGACAATTGAAAACAAAAGGAACAGCAAAGTATTCTTCGAGTTCTAATCTTCCTTGGAGATCGAAATGGGGTAAAAATAATAGGAGTAATGTGGCTGTTTCAAATAGTAAGACCAAACCACCTAAAGGGGAAAAAAGGTAGCTAACAAAAGTAATCCTAAATCAGATTCTCAACCTTCTAAGAATAAGGATATCAAATATTTTAAATGCTTGGATTCGAGGTACATTGTATCTTAATGCCCAAACAAAAGGACAATGATTTTACATGACAATGGGAAAGTGGTGACTAAAGATGAGCATGATAGTGATGAGATGCCCGAGTTGGAGGACTCTAGTGGTGTAATAGGACAGAGTACATAGTAGAAGGTGAATCTCTTGTTGTGAGGCATGTTCTTAGTGCACAAATCAAGGCAGATGATATGAAGCAATAAAGAAAGAATATATTTAATACTATTAACAAGGTACTAGTAAGAATCATAAATGGGAAAGTTGTACTAATGTAGCTAGTATCCCTTGTTGAGAAGTTGGGCTGGACTTGCCTTTGCTTAAACATCCTAGCATATAAGTTGCAGTGGTTGAATGAGTCTAGGGAGGTTAATGTTAACAAGTCCTAATAATCTTTACTATTGGGAGGTATAGTAATGAGATGACGTGTGATGTGGTTCCTACGCATACCGATCATCTTTTATTAGGAAGGTCATGACAATATTATAGGAAAGTGATACATAATAGGTTCAAAAATAGATACAACTTTTGGTGGAGTAGGTGAGCACGAAGGCCTTTGATCACGAATTCGATTCCCCTTACCAACACTTTCTCAATCGAGCCTGTTGTACAGGGCTTGCATAGTGCGATTTACCTGGCTGATATGATTTGTAGGTTATTGCGTCTGCCCGAAGGTTTACCCAATGCGCACCCGAAAGATAGCGGCTGCGGATTCCCTCGTCATTAAAAAAAAAAAGATATAGCTTTTTCAAAAAAATGGAAATTCAGTTACTTTTATTCCTTTAACACCAACACAAGTCTATGATGACCAATTGAAGTCAACAGTGAGGTAGAAAAGAAAAGAGAGTGAGTAAAAATGAAACTTCTAGAAAAGTGAGTGAGAGAAAACAAGAGTGGTTGAAAATCATGAAAAAAGAGTAGAGTCACAAAAAAAATAATAATAAAGATAGAAAGCCTATAGACGGAAAATGAAAAACAAAAGTGAGCATTTCTTAAACAAGAGAGTGAGATTCAGAGGGCTTTAATGAAAAATCAGCATCATATAT